AGCCCGAGCACACAGGGGCTGGTGTTTGGACTCCGCAGCGCTGTCCTCCAGGCTCCAGGGCATCACATTTCGTGCAAGGAAACTTGTGTGCTGCCCAGGAAGCCAAGCCCTGAACTGGGAGCCAGCCTTCAGGGGCCTGTCCTAAGATCAGTCAGGAGCTCTGGGGGGAGTGTGAAGAGGCAGCTGGAGAAGCAAGGGAGACCAGGGGGCCCAGCTCCCTCACACAGAGCCACTCACCAGCACCGTGAGGTATGCGGGGACTGAATGAGCATATGCAAGAGACAAACAGTAACAAAAACATGTTCTGAGGGGAGAAAGGAGCATTCTTGTACATTCTTTCCAAAAACACAGTGCAAAAGTGAAATAAAGACTATGAAGAGCCATCTCTATTTACTGCAATGACTGAGCACCAGGCACTGGGTGGGGGAGGTGTGACATTGATCATCTTCCTTAATTCTTACAACTCCTCTGTGACTAAGGCTCAAAGAGGTACATTAACTTACCCCAAGTCACACAGCAGGTTAAAGTGTGGGCGGAGTCAAAGTCAGGCCTGAGTCCAAAGTCTCAGACCTCGGCCACGGAAAATGCTCTCTCCCAGCCAATACCCACATCACACCAACTCCAGACAGAAATGTTCCAAGTGCTCTGCAGTCTGGGCAGAGCACCTGCCCAATTAAGGCCTGATGAGAGCACCAGTGCTCGAGGTGGCCTGCTGCCACCCTGGCCACGCAGACTCCTCCCTCGGTGCCAAACAGCATCAGCTCCTTTAAAGAACTCCGACTGCTGATCTGGAGCACCCTTGGAAAAGAGCCATGAGCACCCCCCAGGCAGAAACAGCCACAGACAACCCGGATGCAAGTGGGCATCTCTGTGTGCCCATAAAACTTTATTTGCAAAATCGGGCAGGTAGAACACAGTTTTTTGACTGCTGCTCTAAACCAAGACCAGTCACTGCCCTGCTGGACAAGGGCAACCAAAGGCTGCATGTGTGGTCAGTCGGCAGGAGGAAACACCCTGCAGCTGACAGCCATTTCCTCCCGGGCACCCTCAGATAGCTGACAGGGGACATCTGTGCCCTGGGCTTGTGTCTGAGGCCCTGCAACAAGCTCTTCTCACCAAAGGCAAGTCCATTCTCAGGACTTCCCGGCACTGACTCGTGGGCTGGCTCAGACCCGAGGGGCCTTCAAACCAGGTACCTGGTGAAGAGTTGACCGCAGCATTCACTGAGCGCCAGCACCTGCTGCACTTGGGGGGAGGGTGCCCCCAGCACAAGAGGGGACCATTCGCTCAGGTCCTGAACAAACGACACTGTGTGGTCAGGGCTAAGAACATACTCAGAGCCACATCCTCAACGTGGTGTGAAATGAGACGACTAGAGTCCCGGGACACCACTCAGCCTCTGGCGGGCCAACACAGTGCTCTCACGGGCATGGGACAGTCGCAGGCATCCAGCACGTTAGCTTCTCACCTCCAACTTAGCCCCCCGGGACATAAGCTGCCGTTCCCACTCTAAGTAATCCCCACTTCTCTTGCCAAGGAGCTTAAAAGATCATGCTTCCACCCACAGCCCCATCACTTCACCCTGTCTGTAAAATTCCTTCCACTATCTTTCCAATCCTGAAACGCTTGCCAATGCCACGTACACTCGGAGTGAGCACAGGTGAAGAAGTGCAAGAGACATGTCATTAGAAGCACCCTGAAAGCCCCACCCCTCAAAGACCCCTCTGATGCCCCCACATCTGCAACCCTGACGCCAGGACAAGGGCCCTGTCAAGGGACAAAAGCTGAGCAACCTGCAGTTCCCTCCAGGCCTGGCTCGGCTGCAGAGACTGAACCAGGCAAATCCTACTCAGTCTGAGTGGTTTCCAACCACCAAGTGGTAGCAACTTCCTGTTTCCCTTTAACTCCTAAAGCACCTCTGCACCAAAGCAGGGGCTGATTCAGCTCTAAACCAACTCTAACCTGTTCTCAGCAATGCCTATGAGCCAGGTACCATGGAACACAGACACATAACCAAATGAATCACACACCAAGTATTTACAAAGCACTTCCGGGAAAGAGCATTATACCTGGCCTGCCCCTAAAGCAACATGGGAGAGAAAAACGACCCAGGACAGCCGATGAGCAGATGCTGACATGAATAACGCAGACACAGCCCGCTGGAGGAGACCCCAGGAGGAAGTGAGAATTCACACTTGGGCTGTCTATAAAGAGAACTTCATGGCAGGAGCGCAGAGTCAGAACTTCAGACAAGAGGGTATGGGTTTGGGAGTTCGAAGCCTGGTGGGAGTAGGTCCCAGGTTCAGTCCTGAGACGGGGAACGTGAGGACTTAGGGAAAGGGGAACAAGTGGCAGCCCAGCTCCCCACCCTCCCTAACAACCAGTCTGTTGACTTCCTTAAAAGCACTCCTCCAGAAAGCATCCTGTAACTCCACCTCTCCCACACGGCTTCACTGATGGAGCTCCTAACCAGACACCCTGCATTTAAGAGCAAGCTCCAGGCACTCTCCCAGTGAACTCCAAACCCATCAGGGTCCTGGTCTTCTGTTTCTTGGAAGTCCTCCTCCTTAAATTTCCCCACCCAACCCCAGGCACCACCTTCTGCAAGACCAGATGCTCAATAAACACTAGTCAAATGCCCAGCAGGAAATCTTCCACCAGGCTGGGCTTTTGGTCAGCCCTAGGAATATCTGCCAGGTATGCTTTCATTAATCTTAACTATGAGGTCACTGCTTGGAGATTTTTATATGTGAATCAACATCCTGTTTCTCTTCTACTGCGTAATTACTAGCGTCCCACTCCTCTGAACACCCCTTCCCCTCCATCCTCATCCTCAGACTCTTCACTCAGGGTTTCGTTATCTAGGAGTGAATCTCCGGGACATTCTTTTATCAGAAATAAGGAGGGAGGGGCCGGCCTGGTGGCACAGAGGTTAAGTGCGCAGGTTCCACTTCTCAGCAGCCCGCGGTTCGCCAGTTTGGCTCCTGGGTGCGGACATGGCACCATGTGGCAAAAAGCCATGCTGTGGTAGGCGTCCCACGTATAAAGTAGAGGAAGAGGGGCATGGATGTTAGCTCAGGGCCAGTCTTTCTCAGCAAAAAGAGGAGGCTTGGCAGTAGTTAGCTCAGGGCTAATCTTCCTCAAAAAAAAAAAAAGAACAAATGAGGGAAAAAAATGAGAAGACCGAGCATCTTACACATTTTCTCATTTGAAGTAAACACTACTAACACGACTAACGCAAATGAGCATCACTCTTTCTGGCAAAATCACATTCTCTGTGACTAAAACTAACCCTTATTTACTATCAACTACTTTATGAGACAGAAACCATATCTGCTGCATTACCTTCAGGTTCTAAATGTCGGTTTTACAATCTGGAAATCAAATGTATTGAAGTGGATGCTGATGAAAAAGGCAGCTACAACGTAGATATATTCAGATAGATTAATCACTCTCTCCTAAAGGACTCCTATTACAGTAAAGCATAATTTTTTTGGTAGTCCTGAGACAGTAAAATAAAGAGATGAATCAACTTAACTGTGCAAGACATAGTTGATCAGCTCGGAATCAATTGTCTCACTGCTGAATAGACACACATTGCCTGAAAACAACCCAACGGACAAGAACAAGTTAAAATCAGACTCAATATACAAAAGAAGAACACTTGAGTAGAAATAAAACTGAATAACCATTAGGACTCTGTTTAAAAAGAAAAACAAAACAGTGAAACATAGACCCACGTTGGAAAAGGAAAATCAGAGCTGACAAAAGCCTATTTCTATCCTGGAGAGGACTGTCATTTTCTGAGAGGTCAATTCTCTAACAGTGGAAAGCTTGCTCAAATGAGCAATGGAAATGGCTGAGGGCTGGGGGCGGGGGGCGGGGGGGACCGGAGCACCAGCATCTCAAACTGTGATTTCTACCCACGATGGGTGGTTTTGTGGTAACTCAAAAGTTCTCATTTCCTGATCATAAGGCCAGTGCCACACTTAGGATGGTCTCCATCAGGGTTCTCAAACTTGAAGAGAGATGAGGATCTTTCTGGGAAGCCTTACACGTGGCAAATGGTGGGCTGGCAAGGCAAAAGGCCAAGTGCAATTATGTAGGCTCAACTGAAAGACCCAGGGAAGGTAAAACAAGGCTTGTGAACTGCCTCGGACAAATACAGGCAATAACACTTCTTCCAACAGAGCCTTTCCTGAGTTTCAATCCCATTTAGCTCCCAAGATGATACTCCTCAGTGATGCAAGTCTTGTAAAGTAAAGGTAACGACCAAAATAGTCTCTATTCCCATCCGTACAACAGTGTGAGCTTTAAACTTGACGAAAGACAAGGGGCAAACTAACCTAGAAATTCCTATCCTTTTGCCAGGGCAGTAGGAAAACTAGGCAAATCAGAAAGGGGATTGAAAAAGATTTCCTACATGGCCCTTCCTTGACACCGCTAAGCCACCCCTTAATATGAGCAACATTCCCTTTGAACAATCATTCTACGGACGGCACCCTCTGAGAGCGCGGAGTGGGTGCGTGTTGTGGCTGAAAACGACGGAGTGCCAACTGTCTAAACGCAAGTCACTGGCAAAGGCAGGTCACCCGTGAAACCCCCCACATCAACGGTAACTCAACCGTCCGGAAAGCGAAAAGAAGAGTGCCAGGGTTCTCCGACTCTGGAGCCAATGGGGCACCGGCGGGGAGAGAAGGTGTGCAACACCAGAGGCCAAAGAACCTAGGGAGGAGAAGAAAGTAGACCCACAGCAAAGTCCGGGCTCGGGGAAACCTCCTCCGCCGAAGAGCAAAGAGAGAGAGAAAGAGAAGCCTCGAGGTGGGGTGGCCGGGTATCCTCGAGGGCGGCGGGCGCCAGGGCGCCATCCCCTCCTTCCCGGCCCGGGCAGGGAGTCGGGGGCTCGGGTCGAGCTGTGGCAGGGAGCGCCGCGCTCGGAGCCCGGGCAGGGCGGTCTCCTGGCGCGGACAGAGGTTGCGGCTGGCCCGCGCGGCCCTCACCTTGTCCGAGTCCAGGTCGGGGTCGGCCTGGCACAAACGGTACAGGAAGGATTTCGGGTCCCGGCACAGCGTCTGCCGGGTGGTGAGGAAGTAGGTGCCCCCGACGTTGAGCCGGACCCACTTGGACACGCTGCCGGGCCGCTGGGCCAGGGCGCCGAGCCCCGCGCTGCAGCGGCGGCATAGGCCGCCCCCCAGCCCCGCCCCGAGGCCGCCCGGGGCCGGCGGCACCAGCTCGCAGTGGTTCTCCGCCATGATCCCAGCAAGCCCCGCCACAGCGCCCCTCCACCGGAAGCGTCCGGCCTTTAATACAGTCCTTCGCGCTCTGTCCCGCCCACGGGCGGGCGTCACGCGAGAGGCGGAAGTTCCGGTCCGGAAAAGCGGCCGGCCATGCCCCCTTCCGGTCGGGACCCGGCGCGGCGTGGTCTGGGAGTGCCGACGCGGGCGGACAGCGCGGCGCCCGGCGACAGGCTCGAAAGGAGCTCGCCGGCCTCCGCCCTGCGCGTGCGGTGCGCGGACGCCGGGTACCCGGCCCTGAATCCAAGTCTCGACCATGCCCGACCCGCGCCCCCGGCGAAAGGAAGAGCGACTAGCGAGTGTCTACACTCTACATGCTTTTTTTATTATAAGACTACCGAGCATACGTGGAAAATTCATCATCCGGTAACTACATCTAAAGCACAAATATTTGAAAAAAAGAGAATAAACAGATTCATTAAATTATATGATTAAATCATTGACCAAATAGAAAATTTATATAATAAAGCCAGAAAAAAAGTTGTAAAATATAGTTTACAATAATTATTCACATTCAAGGCTGTACATCAATACATACAACAACGTGGCCCCGAACATGAATTCAATCCAAATAATTCATATATTAGATTTTAAATAACACAGACTGAACTAGAGGCCAACAATAGCCAGCAAATAACCTTATATAAGAATAAAAATACAAAAGTGTATATTCTAATATCATTGCATTATTTGTTTTCATAAGTTTTTTAAATTTTTGCTTTGCCTGTACATCACAGTTACAGCTACAGACCAGGTAGAGAATATTACACATGTTCTAACTGACTGCCACCAACCTGAAAGACAGCTAACATACTATTTATTGACTCATCCTATTTTGTTGTTAAGGAACAGCTACAGCAGCTCTAAATACTGCAAGGATTTAATTTGCCAACGTCCAATCAAACTTATGATCACGATAGAGACTTTTCACCAGCAAAATGGCCCCTATTCTTCAGCCAGACGGGTTAGACCAGGGTGGATTACACAGCTAAAAAAAGGTTTGCCTTTTGTAAAAAGTTCTCTGTACACAAAGTTTGGTGTTTCCTCATACTGAAGAAATGAGTTACGGGGAAAATTCAGGTCATTCAGTTGTCCACCACAGCTGTCTGAGCTACAGACAAAACTGCCCTTTGCTGGAACAGCTTCCTCCCCAGACCAGTTTTCCACAGGCAGCCTGTGCCCCTCAGAGGCTCTGGGATTGCCTCCTGCCCTGATTTAAGGTACTTGCCATGTAGGCTGCCTAAAAGCCAAGGGCCACATCCACTTGAGTCGCCATCAGTTCATGTTAGGTTTGGATATGAAAAGAAGCAATGCGGAAAAACAGGTATATGGCAAACTCTCCAAGAATAGTACCTTCACCACACCCTCCCAGCGGCTGCAGCCTCTGCGTCTGGGCAGTGAGCACCCCGCAGTCTGTAGACCTGCCAGGGAGAGGGGCTCGGGTATCAGAGGAAGGCAGGAGACCTAATTCTGCACAATTCAGCCATATCTCTGGCAGAGTCAAGTGGCACTGAGCATGGCACGAAGGAAAATCTCTCATGCATGTTTCCCCTCAGAATCAATGGACCCCAAACTAAAGTGGAGAAATTAAGAATGAAACCAAATTTGGATGGTCTGGACTGGAAGACAACTAGGCAACCTGCAACCCTGTGGGCGAGAAGAGGGGAGAAGCCCTTAAACCCACAGCAGCCAGGGCACACTCCGCAGTGAGAAACCTGGCCACAGGACAGGCAGACTGTATGAAAAAGCCTGGCCACAGGACAGTCACATTCTAGTGAAAAAGCCTGGCTATTGGCTCTACCAAACCGCTCAGACACTCTGACAGAGTCCCACGACTTGAAGAGCATGGGGACAAATAACATTTCTCTGAAACCCAATTGTCTACGTGGTTTCTTTTTCAAGTACAGCCTTTGATCTTTTACTGATTCCAAATAGCCCAATGTACTTTCTGAGTCTATGAACTTAACTACAAATCATCCAAAAAGCATGTGGCAAGGTCAGTTCAACACTTTTTATCTCTGCTGACTGTGCAGATGCAAATTCAGTACCATTGTGGACACAAAGTACAAGATTCTGAAAATACTACCAAGCACTTGAAAGCCACAGCAGCAGGGATGGGAAGGTAACTAACATGCAAGCATAACCAGATCCTTTCAATGAAAATAAATTGGCTTTTGGAAAAATCTGTCACAAAGGAACTGCGGTAATGACATCATTTTAGCATTAAAAAAAAAAAAGACCAGTCTTATTCAAACATTCTTTGGAACACACAGCTTACCGGAAGTAGATTTGTTCAGAATCTGTAGGACACAAATAAGGAAGTTCTGTACTAGAACTCTGAGCATCTAAGCATCAGATCAAGACAGAGGAAGAGAGATTAATACCACCTTTAAAACTAACAAACTCTTTGACCCAAAAATACCACTTCTAGAAACCGGGGGCAGGGGGGATCAGAGTCAAAAATCAAAGATTTATAAGGATATTCATTGCAGCATTATTTAAATAGTGAAAAATCAGAAACCATCTAAATGTTTTACAACAGGGAAATGGTCAGATAAATTATGATAAAATGTATAGCCATTAAACTACAATAATTAAAAACAATGTTTTTGAATCATTGTTCATGACATGGGGAAATGCTTAAGATAAAATGTTAAGTGAAAAAAGCTAGATGCAAAATGGTGTATGTTGTATGTTCCCAATTTAGTTTAAAAAGGAAACCACTGTTTGTGAAGGGGGGCGGGGGGCAGGCTATACACCAAAATGTTCACAGGGGTCTTTTCTGGGTGGTGAGCCTGCAGTTGATTTTTTCACAAAACAAATGTTTTAAGAAAGTACAGAGTCACCTGGAGCCCCCTGTGCTGGCACCCTGCCATGGGGGGGTGTGTTGGGGGGGGGGGGGCGTCTGTGCCATGGACCATCACCTGCAATTCCTTCAGGCCTGGGCCACAAATACCAAAGAGTAGCCCTAGGGGGCTGGAGTAGGTGTGGTTCCCACCAGCTTCGGCATGACCCCATCTTTCTCAAAGCAAGTCTGTAACAAGCCTCTGGAGAGTCACCGTTCAGAATGGCAGGCATGCTGTGGTGCCAATCACAAGGTGGGGCTCTGTGCTCCACACGGAGCTGCCCACCACCCCGGTCAGGTTCACAGAAAGACGGAAGCCAGCTTCCTCAAGTTCCCAGAGAGCGGCAAGGCACAGTGGGCTATCCGTGCAGGTGGAGACCATAGCCTTCCTGACCATGCTCCCTCCCCTCCATGCCACGACAGGCCACACGGGATGTGATCCTCTCTGCTTGGCGGGGGCTTGGTGTGGCCTTTACACTTGTCCTTGCCCTCTCTCAGGAAGACACATGGCACCTGGATCTATTAAACAGGGCGTTTTCTTTCTCGCCTTGGATAAATCCACATTTCTATTTCCATATGTCTATGTACGCCCACATCTTAGAATGTAAGGCACCTGCACGCTGGGACGATGGCTCTAAGGATGAGCTGGATAAAACTAAAGTCGACAGGAGCAAGCACAGGTAAGAGAGAGTATGTATGGGCCTAAAAAAAAAAGAAAAAGGAGGACTCTGAGTGAGCAGAGAAAGGTGACCTACAGAGAAGGGCTCAGCTGTCACTGGCTCAGGCAAGGGCAGTCACTTCAGCTCCGTCAGCTGCTAGCTCAGCCCTGAACCCCTTATTCTCTGGTTTTGCAGGTTAAGATGGAGCTTGTCGGTTAAGCCCAGGAGGTAGTGGCGCTATCCAGAGGGAAGAATGCGATGCAAGATTCATCTCTCCCCGAGCAGCCCCGCTGAGTGCTCTTGTTAAAGCCAAATACGAGCTCTGCTTGTTTCCCTGTGACCAGACACCTAGGAAGGCACTGTGCAAGAGTGGCTTCCAAACTGCACACCCAGACACGGATGTTCTGAGGAGGGTGAACTATAAACACGGGGAGTAAGCCTGAAATCGAACTCCTGAAAGAAAGGGACGAGCGAGACTCACTTTGTGAAAAGCAGGTGAGCACAGGTAAGCCTTTTCAAAACCAAGGAGGAGGAAAGAGGGAGCCTGACTTCTGACCACATGCCCAGGGCAACGCTCTGGTCTCTGGGACACCCCCAGGCCAGGCACGCCCCCAATACCTTGGCACCCCCACAGACACACAGACACACACACTCTCCCCCTCGGCCGGCCCCTCGTGTAGCTCTCACAGAGCCAGAGGACAAGGCCTAAGCAGAAAGCACTGGCAAACTTGGCTACCACCTCGGCTCCCATCCAGACCCCTCTCACTGCCAAGCACAATGGGATCCCCCACATCTGAACTTTTTCCCCAGTTTAAGGAGAGCCGCTCTTATCACTAAAGTTTGAGAAAGACACCTTTCCTCTCAACTTGGACCACTGGTCACCCAGGGTGACGGCTGATTCATTCAAGATAGGAGATGGGGAGCAGAGAAGAAGTCAGGAGGAATCTCTTCTTGTGAGCCTTTTGCTGGTGCCTTTGTGAAAGTCTAAAAGAAATGGCAAAGTTGTTCATCCCCAAGGGACAGAGACATGTCTGTGAGCAGCTCGTGGGTGGTGCCTGCTCCTCTCCCACTTGGGACCGAGGACAGCCCTCCAGGGCCAACCTGGGCAGGAGAGGGGTGGCTGAGCCCCACCAGACCGACAGGAGCTCTCTGTCTGGGAAATAGCAGCAGAGAAAAATTAAAGGACTAGTGAATCCTGGACTGTGTGAGGACACAGCAGGGCACTGCCTCTAAAGGGAAAGGAAGCCAGCCTGAAACTGGAGAAGAGAAGGCTGGGGCACGCGGCTCAGTGTGGTGTTCCTGCCCCTCCTGCAAGGTGAGTAACACTTTTTTTCCAGGCAAAGCCCTGGCAACATGAGAAGGCTTCTAGATTTTCACTGTAGAGATGTAAAAATGCTCTGAGTTAGGTTACAAGAACATTCAGTCACAACACGCACAAGGGTATGTGTGACGGCCGGGAGCCTGCACTCCTCCGTGCCACCTGGATGTGACTGAGTACCGTCCAATTTGCTGAAACCAGGGGTCTCTCAGCCCCTAGGTAATCAATCAGTGGGAGGCCTGCACAATTCACCTTTTAAATAAACTCGCAGGAGGGGCCCACCAGGCCCAGTCTGCCCTGTTGCCTGGCCTCACATGGGACCGGGCAGAGCCCTGCCTCCAGCAGCAACTGGGTGCCAACTGGGCCCCCTTCTGACAGTGCTCCTTGTAGACATGCGCTTGGTTTCCAGCCATGGAGGACAACACTGCTCAGCAGGATGATAAATGTGAACACTTTGCTGGCACCCTCCAAATTCAGCAGCGGCTCCGTATTTCACCTTGACAACCTGTTCTGCTTCTCACCTCCTGGAGCCTGCCTGGCAGAAGCAACATGTGGAGTACTTGCAGACACACAGCAAGAACCACAGAAATCCCACAGCCAGAGCTACTCAAGGAGGTAAGCAACAGGCCTACAGGGGCACGGGGATGGGCCATAAACTAGGGACACAAGAAAAGGAGCACAAGGAGAAAAGCCAAGACCCCCCTCAATGTATGGAGCCCGGGGGCCACCCCCAGCAGAGGCACACACATCTCCCTGGTGAGCAGTTCCATGAGAATACAGGGGCAGAATGAGCCCAGAGACACGCCTCATCCCCTCGGCCACAGCAGGCCCAGCAGGTGAGCAGGGTGTGTGGTGGAGAGCTGGTGACTCGACTCTGTCCACTAGTCTACTAGTCCAGGCAGGAATGGGGCAGACGTGCACGGCGCTGCGTCCCCACAGCAAGGGAGCACGGGAAGCCTCCACAGAGCACAGAGAGCAAGCAAAGCGACCCTGAATTCCTTTTCATTATTGGTTTTGTTCTTCGTGTGGTTGGGTATTTTTTTCTTCTTTTCTTTTAAATAAAAAAGCTGCAAGGTTCCGCTGTCTGCGTCCCCCTTGAGATGGCTGGCAGGTGGTCTGGAAGCGTCCCGATGGCGGTGAGCCGCGCTGGGGCACGTGTCCTGGCAGCGAGTGCAGCAGCTCTGGGCGTGTCACTGCACAGCGGCATCTGGGTGGCTCTGGTATCTGTACCTCCACACCTCCTGGATCTTTTTGCACCATTTGTGAGCATTCCCGCTCGGGTCCATCAGGTAATATGTCCTGTTTGGCTGCAGAGACAGAAACCGTTTAATGTTCTCAAGGGAGTCCCACCAAGACCAGCACCTCAACTTGTCGGTGAGAAACCATAAAAAGAAACTGCCGTCCTACTGCAGCCACTGCAAATACCTTCTGGAAGCATGTGAGCACGTGGCTTTTTCTCCTCCCACATATGTGCAGAGATTAAATATGCAAAGTGATGACCGACAGATCCCTTCAGACACCCTTGAACTAAAAAACAAGCACAGGTGTCTCCTGTCCCAACTCAGGACTAAGCTGTGAACTCGGGGCCCCTGGGACATGGGAAAGGGGGAGACAATCACCTGGAGGCCAGCTGCCCCTTAGGCCACAGCACTTTGCTGCTTTGATTGGAGGCACAAAGGCCTCCGACTGCCCTGCAGAGGAGAACCCATAGGGACAAACTCACCGTGTGGACAAAGAAGGTTTTAAAATTCTTGGCCTCTGGTCGGAGTTCTTGTGACCATGGAATTTCACCTTTCAGGACTTTGTTGACAGGATCAACATAATATAAGTGTGGCCCTTCTGTGAGTAGTAACTGTCGTCGTCGTGCAAATAAACCCTGATGCAAAAAAAACAAAGACCCTGCTTGCCAAGGGTCTTGCATGCTGACAGCACTTCCTGCTGCCTCAGAACCTGGACCGTCAGATTAGCTCAGGCACAGGGACCACCGCCAGCCACCTGTCCACTCACCTCAGACAAAGGTGTGCACACCTCATCCCCCCGTGGACCCAGCCACTCCTCAGGTCAGAGAATGAGGAAGCACTGACTGCCTGGTCTACCTCGCCTTGGGCACTGAATCCTAACACCCCATCTGGGGCATCTCTGCTTTGGCTGTCACATACGGAGGCAGCAGCAGTGCTCGGCAGCAAACCTGAGGCCTGCACACCAGCACAAGTCCCTGCCGCTGAGCAACTCCCACAGGCCTGCCACACAGTCAGGCCCCCCCGCATCTCGTGCCCTCTGCTCCTCCGTCACGGAGGCGCTCACTCGCTGAGCATGCACTGTGGGTGAGGCTGAGCATGGCCAGGAATGGAGACCAGGAGCCTGAGCTTAGAAAGGCCCACATCAACAGACGGAGAACATTTGCAGAGTCCAGTTTTTGACACAATCCACTTAATCCATATAACATAGTAAGTAATTTCCAGAACAATTCTGATGAATAGATGACTTGCTGGGATATCAGACACAGCCTCCGCGACTGGACAGAAACCTTGACATGGGTGAACCCAACCTCATGGAGACATGAGAACATGGCTCCCGAGTCAAAAGTGAGAGGCTGTATTTCTATTTGGCCACGGCCTAACCGTGTGGTTACAATCAGGTTCCCCTGAACGGCTGAAATCTTCCTTAACTATAAAATCTAGAGATGATCTCTAAAAGGGAACAAGATGAAGGATGCTATGTGCAACAAGTTATAGCAGGAGCCCAGGAAGCCCTGATCCTGAGTCAGAACCGGGACGGAGATGCAGACCCGACGCACAGGAGGGAGCAGCAGGAATCTGACTTACCTTTCGCTTATCTACTGGACCCATTTTTAGTATTAAATTATTTTCTACAAACTGATGCCTATAAAAAGAAGAAAACAAGAATGAGACACGCACATGAGAGTCAGTGACAGAAATTCTCCAAACTCCTCCCTTCAGAACAAAGTTCCTGACGGCATTTGTGAACTTTGTTTGAATCAAGCCTCTCCCTTCACAGATCCACACCCACTTCAGTACCACAAGGAAACTCCAAATCTAACTTGGTATGCAAGCACCCACTGCTCTATAGAATTTGCCATCTGTATTTGGACCAGGGTATACAGACACCAGAAATAGCGCCTGCCATCACCTCTCGGTTGGCAGTGTTCACACAACAAAGAAAATGCAGAGGGGAGATGGTGCTGCAGACCTGAGCCCATAACACACGTCCTTGTTACTTTAAACAAAGCTGGGGCAAGACGCAAAATCTCACCAAAAGGGTGGAGGCTGCTGGGAGTCAACCCCAGGACGCAGACTGCCGCTCCTAAGTTACCTCCCCAAGCTGGGAGCCCCAGTTCAGTGCTCAGAAACAACTGAGCAGCCCAGAATTACAAGTCCCTAAAAGACCCAAGTGGGACTTGGTTTAAGAACATCTTATCTGGCGTTTCTACCATAGTAATAAAGTACTTTTATTCAAATATAGCAGGAATTTGGAAGAGAAAGCTTCAAATACAGGTTTTGGTTTGATACACATTGTTAGCAAGTATACTCCACTTTGCTTACTAGGAGTTTAAAAGAGGCTGTTTTAATGTCTACAGGTTGTCTCTTTTGGTGAAAGCTAACAGTTACTGGCTTATGCTCTGTCTGATCTTACTGAAATTTCTAATCTGAGGTTCTGCTGTAGAAACAGAATGTTTTAGATTTCAAAAAACCATAAGACAGCTGTCTCCTCAAACAGTGATCATTTTACCATGTAATCTTCTGAGCACATCCACATGCTTCCCTGGCTCCTTGCGGGACCTACTGCACATGTAGGACTGGCCAAGCTGGTGGAATCATGTTCCCCTACTCCAGCTCACCTAGCCCCAAGGTCTGCCCAGCCTAACCCAACGAGACCAACGCCCACTCCTAGCCCCGAGTAAACTAATGCAGGCTCATGTGGATTTTGAAACCAACTAAGGAGAATTATAACAAAAAAAGTGCTGTGACCTATATGAGGAAAGGGGCAATACTTTGCTCTCAGAGGTATTTTATATTTTATTTTTTTATTTTTTGGTGAGGAAGATTGGCCCTGAGCTAATATCTGTTGCCAACTTTTCTCTTTTTGCTTGAGAAAGATGGTCCCTGAGATAGCACCTGTGCCAATCTTCCTCTACTCTGTATGTGGGACACCGCCACAGCATGGCCTGATGAGTGGTATGTAGGTCCATTCCTGGAATCTGAACCTGTAAACCCCAGGCTGCCAAAGTGGAGTGCGAGAACTTGACCACTACATGACTGGGCCAGCCTCACTCTCAGAGGTATTTTAAAACCAAACAAACAAACAAAAACAAGACTTGAAACAAAGAGAAAAAAATTAAGGAAATTTTTGAAAAGAAAATATAATGAGGATCTACTGTGGCACAGAAATAGACGGATAAAACAGTGGAGCCAAACACAAAGCTTCTCCTAACAAACAGGCCCTATTAAGTGAGTATTCAATGTGTAGTGATGACTCCCAAGTCAATAAGAAGACAACTTTAATTAAATTACATGGGGGGTATGGTGGGGGCGGGGGGTCCAATTTAAGCCCAGGCTGGTGAAAGATCTCACCACCAACTCTTCAGTTAGCCAGGCTGCTGGGCACCAGGCTGATGGCACTAGATTGCCAGAGCAGCCTGCCAGACAGGCAAGGAAGGAAAGGCCTCATAGTGTCTCTGCAGCTTCAGGTGGATTAACACGAGAGACAGTGTAAAACATTAAATCAAACAAGAGAAGAACTCGAACAAAAAGAGAAGGGGATATTTGCCTGGGTGGGAGGGGTTACTTTCTAAACTGAAAACAAAACAAGTCACTAAATACAGACTAACAGACATGACTACATGAGAACAAACAGAACCTCTAACTACAAAAATAACCAAAATTAACAAGAAAACAGGCCAAAAAAGAGTTTCAGCAAATACAACCCACAAAGAGTCAACATCTGTACTCCACAGAGCATAGACAAAGTGACACAAAAGACTTAAAACCTCAACAGAGGGGCCGGCCCGGTGGTGCAGTGGTTAAATGCACATGTTCCACTTTGGTGGCCCAGGGATCGCCAGTTCAGATCCCGGGTGTGGACATGGCACTGCTTGGCATACCATGCTGTGGTAGGCGTCCCACATACAAAGTAGAGGAAGATGGGTACAGATGTTAACTCAGGGCCAGCCTTCCTCAGCAAAAAGAGGAGGATTGGCAGCAGATGTTAGCTCAGGGCTAATCTTCCTAAAAAAAAAAACAAAAACAAAAAAAAACAACAGAAAACTGAGCAACGGATACAAACTGGAAATTCCCCAAAGAGGAATTAAGTGACCCAAAAAATCCTCAATGGCCCTACATGAAGAAATGAAACTGAACCCCACTTTTCCCATGGTCTCCGGGCACACAGGCAGGACTCCAAGGGTGTGGACAGAGATGGTCAGAAGCTCCATTATTAGCATAACCACCACAGTCCATTCATTCAGTTAATTAACCAATTAGCTTACAACAGGCTACTAGATATTTATCTACTTTGAAAACTTTAAGTACTTACAGGTATTATTTTGACGTTTTACTTCAAAAAGTCAATTCCCACTCCCCTGAAGAAAACACCCCTCCCCCCAGCAAAGGCACCTTTTTCTCTTGGGCAGGTGGTAGATGCCAGATGCTGTCTGCAGATTAAGAGCCAAAACCAGACCTAAGTCAGACACACCTACCTCTGAGCACGTAGATGGGACTTTATCACAGCCTCACTTTCACAAAAAGCATTCTGGCTCACCCCATACAGGTGACATTTATCATCATCTCTCTATGGATGTCAAAATAGGGGCCTCATGACTGGCCTACAATCATTTCACAAGGGGTGAAAGTGTAAAATCCCCCTTTTTCCTGATTCCAAAGCCAGAGTTCTCTCTTCTGCCTAACTCACCCTACCCAGACCTCAAATTATATTCAAGGATGCAAGCCTGAAGCCACCAGCAAGCTTGGACCATTTCAGGGCACAGCAACCTCCAGGAGAACCCAGTGAGGCTGCCAGAGCCCCGATGTAGCACTTCTGACCGCTTTAGAAGGGCTCTCCACACTTGGCTTCTGGGCAAGCAAGGGAGGACCAAGCGGCCATGCTGGTTTGTTCTAAAAGCCAGCTCTCAAACCTTCACGTCTAGGTACCCCTTTACACTCTTAAACTTTAGAGAAGACACCAAAGAGCTTTCTTTATTTGGGTTACATCCATCAATAGTTATGTATGAGAAGTTAAAACAGACATTCTCAAACATTTATTTAATTCATTAAAAAATAAACCTGTTACATACTAATATAAATAACAATTTTATTTAAAAAATAACTTTTTTCCCAAAGAAAATTAACAAGAAACATGACACTGCTATACATTTTCCAAATCTCTTTACTATTTGGTTTCATACAAGAGAGCTGATTCTCATGTCTGCCTCTGCCTTCACTCTACTGTGATGTGTTGACTGGGATGAAGTACACAAAGAAATCAGCCTCAGTCAGATAAGCAGCTGGAAGACGGAGGAATATGTTCATAGCCTTTTCAGATATTTGTGGGCATTCTTCTTCGATACTACACCAAAACCCGACAAGTGTAGTTTCTTAAAGTTAGCTGCCACGTGGAAGCCGAATCCCCAACAATGAATTTTTCATGCTGTATAACATTAGAATCCATCAGTCCACCCTGTGCTTTGAAGAGATCCTCCACCCTGGGATGATTTTACAGCATCATACACTAGTCATCTGGAAAACAGTGGCTTGCTGAATCATGGAGAATTTCCAAACAATGAAAAATTTCATTGTACAATATCAACAAATCGATTCATTAATATCACTACCTATCTCCTCAAAAAAGTCTTTAGAGATGCCAGCCCTCTGGCCGAGTGGTTGAGCTCGTGCAGTCTGCTTCAGCGGCCCAGGGTTTTTGCCAGTTCGGATCCTGGGCATGGACATGGGCCATGTTGAGGCAGCTTCCCACATGCCACAACTAGAAGGACCCACAACTGAAAATACACAACTATGTACCGGGGAGCTTTGGGGAGAAAAAGGAAAAATAAAATCTTTAAAAAATAAAATACTAAACAGTCTTTAGGTATTGGGAAGATGTCAAGCTCACAGTGATAAAGTTTCCCAAAATTCTAATTTTCATTTGAGGTTTTGATTTTATTATTGGTAACAAATACTAGCAGTTGCTTTCCTTGATGTGACACGTTCATTCCATTCCTTTTCCAGAAAAATGTCTGCAAAATAGCCAAGTCCGAATGACCATAGTTTGTCAATCAAACTTTCCAGTGAAAGTGGTATTCTATGAAAAGAGCAGCTGGTTTTGCTCCCAATGCAAACCATCACACAAGTGCTTTTTTTTTCTTTCTTTTTTGTTCTTGAGGAAGATTAGCACTGAGCTAACATCTGCTGCCACTCCTCCTCTTTTTGCTGAGGAAGACTGGCCCTGAGCTAACATCTGTGCCCATCTTCCTCCACTTTATATGTGGGATGCCTACCACAGCATGGCTTGCCAAGCAGTGCCACGTCCGCACCCGGGATCCGATCTGACGAACCCCGGACCCCCAAAGCGGAACGTGCACACTTAGCCACTGTGCCACTAGGCCGGCCCCACACAAGTGCTTTTCTTGAGATAAGTGTCACCCCTGGGTTGGCAGCAGATGTGCTTTACGCATACTTCCCATTTCATTATACAGAATATAAATAAATCAATGATTTTTAATGACTACTCATAAGTGAGACCGGCTTCTTTTCTTTTTTCCCTGTGAGCATGTGGCTGTGAAGAACCCAGGTCTTCTAGCATTACTTGGTGCCACAGCCTGGATTCATGATCTGGCAAAGGCAGTTTTACCCACCACTGTTTCTGGACCC